TGTACAAATACTCTGTCACATGTAAATGTCCTGTATTCAAATTTTACTGAAGTAAAGGTACATAAGCATCAAAATATACTTAAAGTATCAAAAATAAAAGTACTCATTATGTAAAATGGCCCTTTCACATTAATATATTTTACAATCTAATGTTGCAGTTGGTAAAGGTGGAGCTTATTTGAACTAATTTGGGTGCTTGAATTCCCCCCAGGATTAACGAAGCCCTATTTTAACCAGTAATAATACATCATAACTTATTTGTTAATTTTACTTTGTATATCAATCTGAATCTGCATAGTAACCAAAGTTACCATAAAAATGTATCTGAGTAAAAAGTACATTTGCATCTGAAATGTAGCTTAGTGCAGTAGGAGTAACAAGGATGAGAAAATGGAAAAACTCAAACAAGGTATTTCCTCACAGTTGTCATCATACAGTACCTAAGTAAATGTGCTTAGTGCAAATAAGAAATAATACAGAATATTAAGGCTTTAAGATACACACACCATGTTTATTATGGCAATTCCAAATAACAAAATGTATTATCACACTCCCACTTATGAGACTATACACTCTTTAGGAGTATATGTTTATACACTTAAATAAAACCAAGAGTGGAACTTTAAGAACCTAAAAATATGAACATATTTGTATCTAAAAAAGAATCCTTGTATTTTATGAACAATTAACATCAGTAGTAAAGCATGGAAAACCCCCTAACCCCAAACATCCTTTATAATTTACCTTGCTCAGCTTTGTACATACATACAGACATACATACAGATGGGGACAACAGACAAATAAAAAGTATAATTCATGGTCTTTTTTTGTATGAACTTCCGTCTTTGTGCTGCGACCCCCTCACTGCAGCAAAGCAAGGAAACCCTGTGGAAACACAAAGAGGGAATTTCTTAAAGAAAAGACTAACTTTGACACACATGCTTAAAACAAGACTGGTGAAGTCTGTGGCAGATAAATCAGTGACTGTTACCTGTCACACCGACTGACAGCTGTGAGATATGATAGCAGTGGTTCATCTTTATTAAGCAGTGTTGGTATTTGGCTGTTACTCTTTGTCCTTGAGCTAAATTGGACTGTGAGCAAAACAAAGCAGTAAAAAGAGTGTGTAAACAGGGTTGTGATTAGCTGTCCTGGGTGAAGCATCTGGATTTTCATGAGCCACAATGTCCTCCTGTTCAGGCGCTGGATTTTTATGTACCACAAGACTGCTGCCGTTGGTACCTCAATTTGTTCATCTCATGTGGTACATAAAACTGCAGAGGACCAATCTGGACAGTTTCCTAAAAGGACTCAGCCTTCTGAGAGTCGGTTCAGCTGAAAGGGCTGCCCTTGATGCCTCTGAGATCCAGTCTGAGATTGAGACTGCAATCCTGAAGATGGCCTCAGGAAAAACTCCAGGGGATGATGGCCTGGGAATGTTTTAAGTGCTTTAAAGAGCAGCACTCCCCATTTTTATTATTGTTGTATAATGAAATACTGAAAGCTGGTGCCATGCCTCCCTCCATGTGCAGAGCTGTCATCGCTTTATTACCAAAACCTGGCAAGGATCCAATTTTGATGAGCAGCCACCGTCTTTTTTGTTTGTTAAATTGTGATTACAAGCTCCTGTCTAAGGCATTGGCATTCTGTTTGGAGAAGGTAGTCCAATCTATAGTTTATCTTGACCAAGTAGGTTTCATTCCAGGTCGTCTCTCCTCCAATAATATGCGGAGGGTTTTCCAGATTATACTAGAAGCCAGTTCCAGCAAGTCTCAAGCCACTGCAGCATCATTAGATGCTCAGAAAGACGTTGACTAGATACAGTGGCCCTATTTATTTTTAAAACATTTGGTTTTGGTCCTAATTTCGTAAGCTGGGTAAAAGCCCTCTATAGTTCCCCACTTTCCTCTGTCAGAACTAATGGGTTCATCTCACAACCCTTCCTTTTACATCTGGACGAAAGGCAGGGTTGCCCAGTCAGCCCCTTGCTTTTCATCATCGCTCTTGAACCATCAGAACGTGCTGTGAACATTTATGGTCATAATTTTAAATTTAATATGTATGCTGATGATATTTTGCTCACTTCAGCCAAGCCAGTGTCCTCAGTCCCTGCCGTTCTGAATTTGATTGATTTATTTGGCAGTGTTTCAGGGTATGAGATAAATTGGAAAGAGGGTGAGGCAATTCCACTTAACCTTAACACAGTTAAATCTGACTTAAAGGACACCCCCATCTAGAAAACATATGGGATGAAATATCTGGGAGTCAATATCATATCTTTCATTACAAAAATGTTTGGCCGTCCTCCAATCCGTTAAAGATGACATCGATAGATGGGCAGCCTCACCATTGTCTCTATGGGGCAGAGCAGAAATACTTAAAATGAATGTATTAGCAAGACTTACTCATATTATTGCATCTGTCCTTTTAAAATTTCCTCAAAACTGGTTCAGGGACATTAAATCCCTCTTCATTCAATTCCTTTGGAATGACAAAAAGCCCAGAATTGCTTACAAGAAATTAATCATACGCAGATCCAGGGGCAGGGGTCGAGAAGTCCCAGATATATTTCAGTATTATCTTTCATACAATGCAAAATATTCATTGACCTGGGCCTATAAATCTGAGGCTGTAGTGGGCAGCTGGCAGTGGTTGGAGAGAAATATTATATAAACAAGAACATATTCTTGATATCATTGTGGTCCAAACCCACCACCCCTACCAAATAATGTTGTGATTAGGTTTTCATGCTCTATTGTTAAAGAGCTGCACAAGAGACTTAGCACTGAGGGGCTCTTCCTTCCATCCTGCCCACTCTGGTGTAACCCCATTCTTTCAGCTGCAGGAAACACTTTAAGTAATAGATTATGGCAGGGACTTGGCATTACTATAGTTGATATTAAGTGGGAAATGTTATCATTTCAACAACTTAATAATCAGTTTGGCGTCCTGGACTCTCACTTTTTAACATATGCTCAATTATCTTCTATTTCTACATAAGAAATGTGAAGAGGGAGCGGCTCCTTCTTCATGTTGAGAGTGGAATCAGCTTCTAAAGAAGGAAATCCTGGCAAGAGGTGTGGTCTCAGATATCTATACCATAATGTCTATAGCTGCCCCTAATGCATACTTTTCTGTCCAGCTGGCTTGGGAGCGTGACCTTAATGCATCTTTGACTGCCTCCCAGTGGACGTAATTTGGAGGTTGGCTCTGAGATCCTCTGAGATTAAGGATTATACAATATAAGATACAAGAAAAATAGGGTGCTATCAGCTAAATTGGGCCACTTTTTGGTTAATCACTTGGGAACTAAGAAAAAAACAATGTATTACATTTGATTTTGTTCCTATGAGTAAAAATGACTGTTTTCAATATTTTTGTGTTGAATTTATGTAATAAAATATAATTGTTAAGACCCTACAGCTGTTGAAACATCAGCTGTCCCCCATTTTTGAGATGCGCAGTGTTCAGGTAAAATGGGCCACTTGATCAGCTAAAATGGGCCACTCAAACTGCAAAGTGAAACAGTCATTTTTCATAATATAATCAAATTATCTTTAATATCAACACACATAACACAATAGAACATTACATTTAAATATATTAAATGTTTTAAAGAATTCATGAAAAATAACATTAATATAGTAATAACATAGCGATCAGGCTTTAGGAATTCATTTTGAAACGTTTCAGCCTCTTTCACCTTTCCCTTTCTCGTGTGTGTGTGTGTGTGTGTGTGTGTGTGTGTGTGTGTGTGTGTGTAGGCTTATAAAAACTGAACAACTGTAAAAACTACTCTTTTAGACTGACACTTTCAAAGGCAGGTTTTCAAAGGCAGTCTTGGCAGATGAAGCCGTCATCATCGCAAATTCCGTTCTCCTCACCACAGCTCTCATGGAACCAGGCACTGCATTGCCCACAGTGCAGCCAGTCCTCCTTGGCCTTTGCGTCACTGGGGTCACTGTCGAGGGCCTGGCATATCTTGCACGGTTCTTCCTCTTTCTGCTTCCTCCTACCTTGCCTCTTCTCCTTTGCTTCTTCTTTCCTCTCTCTTCCTTTCTCCTCCTCTCTGTTCCTTCTTGTTTGCCATACTGTAATTATAGTTTCATATTACTTTACTTAACCATCTTTCACTATCACTTCTAGGCTACATTACATCAGCCTCTTTCACCTTTCCCTTTCTTGTGTGTGTGTGTGTGTGTGTGTGTGTGTGTGTGTGTGTGTGTGTGTGTGTCAGTGACTGAGCGCTAGTTAGTGAGAGCTAGCTCATGATGCACCCTGGACCAGAGCTAACACACACATATGTAATTACAAAGGAAAATGTAAAGAGGCCTGTAATATACAATAATATATTTATATATTAATACTTTTTAATAAGAGGAACCATCAAAATATTTGCTAAAACTCAACTCAGAACGTGGCCCATGTTAGCTGAAATGTGTGGCCCAATTTACCTGAACACATTAAGGTAAACTGGGCCACTAACAAAAAATACTTTTTCATCAAAAATAATTTTATTTAGCAAAACATTAGCATTATATCTGATGGAGGCCATCAGGACATGTATTATACATCACTATATATATATATGTACATTTGTTTTTTATTGAATTATCAACCTTATCATTGACAGTTAAAATTTGGTATGTCAGGGCACTCACCATGCAGTTTCTCTGTAGCAGTCTCAATATGAGGCTTTGCCCCACCCACCATAGCAACCATAGACCAATCATATCAATTGTTACATGTCAAGTACTGTTGCGGCAACAGTTTGAAATCATTTGCATTCATTGGCTGTTAACTTTTAAAGAGCTGAGACGCTCAACCCTTAAATGGCCCATTTTACCTGATGGCCCATTTTAGCTGATGTTATTGCAAAAAAATTAAATCTTTTTTAATATCAATAAATTGCCAAATATCAGTTCATTGCCAAAATTGATATCTATTTAATGATTATTCATCAAATAAACCTTTACAGTACACAGTAAAGAGTTTACGCCCTGTACCTACTCTCTGCTCAGAGTTTTTTTCTGAGTGGATGTCTGGGTGCCATCACTTCTGTTATCTTTACGTAACACTCACACTCTGGAGGGAAGCGGTTTCTCTGAAAGACAGATCAGAAATCTTCACACAAATCATCTTCATATTCATCTGCAACTGTTAATCAACAGCATAATGAGTAAGTGGGTAAAGGCAAATAACAGAACAGCTAGAACAGTCTGGGAAGTTCAGAAATTACATGACTTTACTGTAATTCAGCTTTTTTCCAGGAAAAGACCAAACTTACAATGTAACTATATCTAAAATCTTCTTTTATTACAGTAGTAATATAATACCAATATACTGCCCAGCCCTCCAGCAGAAGTTCCATTAAACAAAGCACTTAGTATGCTACTACAGAGACAGTTTACTTAAGCTGCATTAAAAATATTCTGGTTTTAAAAAATCTGCTTTAATAAATAAGTGACAGTTTAAAGTAGCTGATTTAAAATGTACCCAAAGCAATGTTGCCACATTCCCAGACATCAGTGACAGCAATGTTTTTATTACCAGTAGGAATGTTGGCCAAAGCTATTTAAAGCTGACCATGTAATAAACCAGATTTATCAATTACAGTAAAAACACTGACTTTCAAAAATGTGAAACTAACTGAAGGTACACAAATGTTTGAACAGTCCTCTGAACTACTTAAACACAAGTTTAATTTATGAACTACAGTGAATTGTGCATAGATGCCCACACACACACTTGACTCCACTGTAAGTGACACACACACCTGCAGACAGAGATGCAGCAAGGTTCCACCCTCACCCTGCGCCTGTATTGTCGTCAGGAGAAGAGGCAGTAACTTCTCGGTAATCCTGTTTCCTACACACACACACACACACACACACACACACACACACAATGATTTCAATTAAATATTTATTATTATTTTCATTTATTTTTTTTGAGCAGAGCCCCGCAGGAGTAGCTGCTAATTAGTGGCCTGCTCGTACAAAACAAAATTATTTCATTAAAGTAATGAGTAAAGTAATAAAATTTTAAACTCTTCTTTTTTTCTAAACAAATTAAAATAGATAAAATTATTACAGATAATTTAAAAATGTGATATAAAGTGACTTAAAACAACAGCATATAACAGTGCATAATTTGAGTTGGAACGTACTGGAACGCACACCAGGATCTTTTCAGAAAAGGCCCTGGTGTGTTCCGGAACTAATTTGCATGGGTCTAGAACTTTTCACATCTATAAACTACATACAGTATTGGCTGATGTCACTAGTGTTGCAGGGTGGAGTACCGTAGTACTATGGTGCCTCACGTACCACTACTGTGGGATAAGTTCAAAATCCAATCGCAAAAGGGTGAGTGTCCATGCACCGTCCAATAACGGCGCTCGCTGGTCAATAACGGCGCGTGCTGGCCACCTGGTACTCAATATGCTGCTGTAGTGGTTTGTTTTCCAGACGTGAGTATCTTTGAGCAGTGAAAGTTATTATTTATTTTTTTTTACTTGTCAGCAATGATTTGTTTTCCACAGAGCTCTACCTGTGAGCATTTGCGACTAAAAATAGTTTTGTGCCAGCAAAATAAATCATTCAGCATGCTGTGCGAGTACAGATTTCAACCAGCAGCAGAAACGAAAGGCAAATTTTGCCGGTTGTGGGTTGAACGGGGGTCACAGACAGGAATACGGTGGTCAAATAGCCTATGGCGGCTCCGTGGCGCAAGATAAAGGCTTACCAGCGACAGAGAAGTCCAACTCCAGGTCCAGTAGCCTAATTTCCTCTTTCGTTGGCGTCATGACTGCCCAGTAGTACCTGGACAACCTAGCCTTGGTGGCACACAGGTATGTGGCGTGTCAGAGGAGAAACGAGCCGTTCACATTTCTCTCTTTGTGGCAGGTAACATTCCACAAACCTCACCGCACTTTAGGGACTGTTCTTTACTTATGAAGGGACTGTTCTTAACTTGTCAGGGGAGGAGGGTGGCTGGTTGATTTTTATTTCATTTATTTATTTTATTTCAATCCCCCCTATGTTAATCACTTATTGATGCTGTTTTTGAAGTATGAAGTCAATAAGTAATTTATTCCATTGAAATACCATTGATGTATTATAGAAAAGTGATTTATCTTTTTATAAATGACAAAAGGCACATCTGCCTCATTTTTGATGTGGTATCATGATACTACTCAGAACCATGATACCTTCACTGGTATTGTACCGTGGGTCCCAATTTTGGTACCATGACAACACTAGATGTCACAACCATTCCGTTCGGAGTTGCGCAGTGAGGTGGCTCGAGCGCCGCTTAAAAAAGTGTTCCCCCACTTTTGGGAGTGGGGGAACACTGCTCTCTCAGAGGCCCAAAGTGTTCCTTCCCCTACTTATAATTTTATAAATTAAGCACTGTATATACATATATATATATATATATATATACTGTTTACACATATTTTATATTTTTTAATCTTTAATTTTCTTTTACTCAAGTAACATTGTCACCCTCCTTTTTCTGTCTGTGCTTTGAGCTGCTGTGACGTGAATTTAAATATTTCTGTTTTCAATCTTAACTGTAGCTGTACTGGAAACACCTTTATGTGTAAGGTTTCCAGATCAGATGTTTAATTTCAAGATGAGATAAACACACCACCAACATTACTGACCTGCTAGGTTGAGGGAGGCGAGAGTCGTGTTTCCAGGCAGAAAAAGCTCGCCGTCCCTGTACTGCACCGGCTCGTCCAGCAGGGGGTTCACTATCTTCACCAACTGTCCCTGCTGGTAAAGAGAGACAGACGTGAGCAAGTGCCTGACAGCATATGATCAAATCATCGTCATCATTGAGAAGATTTCTGCTCGACAGACAACTGCATCAAACAAACCTCATTCAAGGAAGTACTTGATTTATCCTGCAGAAAAAACAAAGTGACACAACTGATTTATTTGAAGTGCTGTACTATGCATGTTTATATCCATATGGTTCTTAGTTTAGCATGATTCTGGTACCTCTTGTGCAGATAGTTGCTTCTCTTTTCCCCCCTGCTGGCCGTCTTCACTGTTGAATTTCTTGTTAGACTCTGGGTTATCTTTGTCCTTTTTGGGTGCTTTCTGTAAGTATAAAGATCTCAAGATGATTTGTCACGATTTACAAACCAAATATGAGACAAAACAAAGACAAAAAACGTTACCTGTTTTTTGTCTTTGATCTCCCCTTTGCTGATGCCCAGTGAACTGCTGCTGGCTACTAAGGGAAGTTGATCAGCACGCTGGTCAGCATCAGCCTTGAAAGAATCACCAGTTAGTGATGACCGTGAAAACAGAGCAAGAGCAGCATGTTGAAATGTGATTATTAGAATGTCTCATAACATGTTCTTGCACTTACATGCTTGTGAAAACCTGTTCAAACCTTTAAATGAGGGCATTGTTGCAGAGTAATGTCAGTCAATCTTTACTTTTTGAACAGGACACCTTGATATTTGGGATTATTTTTAATGTAGAGTGGGTATTAATGGTAGCATGGATGATTACTGATTGGGCCTGCAAGGCAAAGGCCCAGAGGCTCAAAGTGTCAGGGGCTCTCCTGGTCGTCTCCTGCAAAAGGTCACTCAAATTTTCACGTACCGACCAGGAGGAGACACAAAATGACCACAAAAAACAACCAAAAAAGACACAAAATTACCTCAGAGACAAAATCACCTCAATAAGACACAAAATTACTTCAAAGAGTCACAACATTAACTCAAAGGGACACATGATTACTTGAAAGAGACACAAAATGACGTCAAAAGGACACAAAACAACTTCAAAAAACACAAAAACATCTGACAAAATGACTACAAAGAGACACAAAAAACACAAAGCAATGTAAAGGAACTGCAAAGAGACAAAATAACTACAAAACCGACATAACAATCACAGAGACACAAAATAATCACAAGGAGATACAAAATGACTACAAAACAACAAAAGACACAACCAAAAAGACACAAAACTACCTCAAATAAACAAAATGTCTACAAAGAGACATAAAACCACCCATAGACCACATCTGTGTGTCTTTTTTCTGTGTGGCAGAGGTGGCGGGGCCTTTTGCATATCTGTGCCCCGTGGCCCACTGTCTCATTATCCGCCATGAATGTTACAAATTGCTACACTTACGGAGAGCGTTCTTTTCAGAAGCAGCTTCCTCCTCTCCACAACTTCTTCATGAGTGAGAGCAAACTCACCAAGTATCTGAAAACAACAGGGGTTAAGGTGTGGAGCCTTATTAAGTTACATAATATAATGCAATAAGCAGAATATAATTCAAAACAACTTCACCACTGATTTAAATGTATTATGTCCCAGGTTAAAATCTTTAATGTAAATGGATACCGCAGCCAGATGAGCAGCTCCTGCGTCTCCAATCTGATTGTTGCACAGTGAGAGAAAGCGCAAAGAACGATTGAACCGCAGGCCCTGAGAGACAAAACAGGAGGAAGAAAACACCTCAGTGACCAAGAGGGGAACATACAGGAAAAAGTATGGAGTCAATTCTGGGTTATACCTGTGCAATATGTGCAGCACCTGCATTGCCAATAGAATTAAAGGCCAGATTGAGTGCCAACAGGTTTTTATTAGCAGATCTGGTTGTAGAGAGAGCTAACCCAATTAGGCGAGCACCCTCGTCTCCTATCCGGTTATTATTCAGGTACAAGTGAGTGAGGCTTGACAAAAAAAAAAACATGACATGATTCAGGCATGTTTGTGTTTCTATTTGTGTGTGTGAATGCAAATTAAGGTTTATTTCTGTACTACTATGCCATACATGTGGCTGCGTGGTGACTCACACACTGTCTTCAGAGAGAAGAAGGTGGTAGCTCTGCTCTGGAAGAGGGTTGCCCTGCAGTGTCACAGTCCTAACAAACAAAGAGGAGGGGAAGCAGTAGTAATTCTCAGTGTCTGACCAATAATGTTCAACATAGCGTGGTGTTGTTTTCTTTCCAGATCTACAACATTTTGTCTCTAAAACAAAGTCTCACAGTGGGACTGGCAGCAGAATCACCTCACCTGAGGTTTGAGCACAGTGATATTGTGTTCATGAAGGAGATTATCATTCGATCTGACAGACCCGCCTGCCAAAACCTGCAACAAGACAGGATTACACAAACAAACAAGAACAAAACAGTGACAGCTGTAACCCTGTTCCCTATAACAGGGGTACATCAGCTCATTACTCACTGAAGGTGCTGTAGCTTGTTCAATGAGGGAAGCATCTTGTGTAGCACTCTGGCAATCTGTTCATCTACCTTCCATCCTGTGAGTATTTAAAATAGATTATGTTTTCTCCAACATCCACTACAAATACTGGATGACATCAAATACAAGGGTTGCAGACTGCTCAGACACTCAAATGACACTTTAAAACGAGAAAAAACTGTAAATACCAAGACAATAAATATTTGTAAATATTTCTTTAGGGTGTTTCTTTCTTACCGAAAATCTTCAGGTGCTTGGCGCTGAGGGGGTCTTCATTCTCCAGCTCTACTTGGAGGCATCGCTTAGACCACCAGGAAGGTGCAGCATTTGTCTGTGACTGGCCATGACCTGAAAGTGCAATTATGACAATTATAATTGAACCGAGAGTGAAAAATTGACTATTACATTTAGACTTGTTATATAATGATCCATACTGTACAGTAAAGTATATTTCCAGTGAACTAAATGTCCCAAGGTCTTCTGATTTCTTTTGGTTGGTATATTTCAATTACTAAAACAGAATAACATCAATGTAATTCACCTAATGTCCGCTTACATCATTTTAGGTGCATTGAACAAACCTATACTGGAAATTATACAAGTCTTCTATACAGGGTAAAAAGATATCAGTAGGTGTGTTAAGATCAGGAGCAGCTCTCTTTACCTGTATGCTCTCCTTCAGTTTCAGAAGTGGAGGAGGCTGGTTGCTTGGTGATGACAGCGGGGATATCCTTTATGTCCAGAAGAGCACAAAGTCCAGCAAAGTCAATCTCCACATTGCCCGAGCACTGATATTCATCTGTGGAATAAAGGGTTTGAAGCACTGACCTCAAAACTCTCATCTGGACAAAAAAAGAAAGGAAAACGTCAAATAATGTCACTTACCAAAGATCTCAACAGGCAATTTTTCATTTGGAGTTGGTCCTAAAAATAGCAGAAAGGTTAGAGTTTACACCCACTGAGCATTTCTCCTTTTTATTAATCACTTTTGGTTCACTAGATCATTAGTTGTTATGGCAACTTCAGACTGAGAGTGATATTTCACCCCTGACCTCTACCAAGATTCAGAACATGCTGGGTTACAGTACAGTCCAGCTGTGACAATGATTTGAGTAAAGCTATTTAATGTGTTAACACTGCTGCTCAAAGGCATTAAAACTGTTTTTACTCTTAAGACATCTTTGTAAAATGTACTCAACAACATCTCATCAAGAATAGACGAGTAGGCCTGATACAAGACATCGTTTTGTTTTGTACATATGGAAATTATGAATGGTGGACTCATTTTAAATGAAGTATTTTTTAAGTGTGGTATTAACTACTCTTAATACCGCCATTTTAATAGCTGTGTATTTAACTAAACCTGTCAATTTAAATCCCACACCTTAGGTTCAAAATAGCAGGTAAGTTAATGTTATAGACACTAAAAAGTTACGCAAACAATTGCAGCATCCCCCTTTGTATTGCTATATTATCATTAAAAGCCTGTGTCTCATAATTACAGTTGAATAACAGTTTAAAAGTGATCTCAACAATGTCAATTAGCATTAACGGTCTGTCCGAAGGGGGCTGTCAAGCTAACTACCCGACCTGCTGTTGAAAGACTCATCTAACCTGTATTTTTCGAGGTCTCTTCCTTAGTATTTGCTTTCCCCTTTTTCTCCTTTTCTGTCCTTTTAGACATTGTTGGCGAAATATGGTTAAATCATCGGATAAATGAGCTAACTTAACATCGCTGTACTGCTTCTTAACTAAACGAACCCCAGGGCGATACTGGCGTTACCACGGTAACCAACTCGCAGTCCAACCTGTGGGATTCATCGCGAGACTTCTGGAAAGGTACTCGGTGCTTTTCCTTTCGCCCATGGTATTTAGAAATTATTTTTGTAAAGCATTGCTTGTTGGGAGATATTAACGTAGTTTGTGTAACCTTAATTTTAGTAGTGGTATTCAGAACATTAAAATGTTATGGCAATCTGTCGTGTAACAACGGTCTTTTTATTGTCGTAATATCGCGAGAATTTCCATTTGACTGTTTGGTGCCCTAACAGTGGATTTCACTGTCAAGCTTTTCCTGTCAGGAGACTATGAATATGAGGACAAAGCTAATTTATATCAATATTTCAAATTCACGTTGATTATTGACTGTGGACTGGATGAGAATATGATCAATGAAGCATTTCTCTTGTATGTCCTGCACATTGTTTCACTTTGCAGAGCCTGCTGTCTTTGGTCAAAGTGGAGTTTGATGTTGATACATGCATGTTATTACTATGACACTTTAATTTTAAGATATGAAAGATATGAACATGGTTTAACTTTTCTCAGATTACTCCAAACCACATTAGTGATAAACTAGCAGAGCACCAGCACACAAGTTCAACATGTAGCTGCATCTTTTTCTTTGTGAACTGTCTAAAGAATATTAAAAGCATGACAACGTAAAGTGTATTCACAATAATGTAGTGCTTTTTATTAAAAAAACAAACAAACAAAAAAACAAAAACAAATATAAAACAAAAAGTAAAAACCAACAGCATTTTTCATGACTTAAGAATCATAATTACAAACTTTTAACGAGTGGAAGAGGTTTTTTTGACAAACTGTACACATCACAAAATGTCCGCCAGTCTGCCATTTACAATGCTTGCATCTTATTTTGTGATTGTCTAAAAATAACTAAACGAATCACACAAAAACACACAAATACAAGTACAAGCATCATACAATGACTGCTATCACAAAACGGAACCATTTCCTATTTGAAAGAAAAAACAAAAAATAATAACATGATATTGGGCTGACAGCTTTACTTTTGTGTCTGTCACCGTTTTTAAAAATATCATAACATTTTTATGTTGGTTTGTTTTTTTAGTGTTCAACACTTTGCAGCAAAAAACAAGGAGTCCATTTCTCCTTTAAAAGTAATATTATTAACAATATTCAGTGACAAAGGTGTCATTGCTGAGTCACTGTCTTGTCCCAATGCCTTCTGTGTCCGTTTGACATTCTTCTCGCTCATCTCACTCATGCAGTACATAGATGAATTTCATTTATAGGCAACGAAAACTCAGCTTAAGTTTTTATGTCGTCAGGACAATTACGGTGAGATTTTCTGGACATTAAAAAAATCATTTTCCTCCAAGCTTAAGTGTCTTCATTATAGTAATACAAACGGAAGAAATGATAATATTATCATTATTATAATAATCATAATACATTTAGGGCTGAGTCCTGTACAGTACAATAATAAACAAAATCCATTTTTCAAGATATTGCTTTTGGAGACACTCCTCAATGTAAAGTGTGTATATTTACATAACTTGGCACTGTACAGCTTCCCGTTCCCTCTCTTCTCTCCCTCCGTCAGTGTCTCATTCTCGCCACCTCTCTGTCAGTTAACCGCACTGGGACATTGCAGGCTGTCCCTTTTTAGCAGAGGCAATTGGGGGGGAAAAGAAAACGAAATCTCATCAAATATCACAATTTCTTTTTAAAACATTCTCCATGGCAACCAGGAACATAGTCTAAAGACAACAAAACATCTCAAGTCCCTTCCCCTCCCAATATACAGTATACACCACCCCACCCGTCTCACAGAATATAAGAAAATATGACCATCACGATACATTTTATGTTAAGTATTGTTTTCCATAGTTTTCTTAAAACTGTTAATTGCCATCGAGCCCTTAATTTTTTTTTTTCAATTTTTTTTTTAAAAAGGTATATCTTCAAGAAATCTGGCAGAGTACAGACACACAATAAGTGTGTACGCACGCACACACTCGCACACAAGGCAGTCGGAGAGCACGGCTGTGTAAGGCGTTACAGTTGAAGCCAGTGTCCCCCCGACACGCCTGATTTTAGTTAAGCTGGTGAATCATGTTACTTCAAAAAAGAGGGCGCGAAGCTGACTGCCTCGCAAGGAAATCAAAGATTAAAATCAAAACCTCAACAAGACACTTTGACTGACACAAGCGCACACTCAGTCCTCCCTCCCCACCCCTTACTCTGAAAACAAACACACCCACCCCACCCCCCGGCCTCTTCTGTTCCTAAATGACGTACTACAGTATAACAGGAAAAAGATAATAGACTTTTTTAACTCGGTTTTTTTTTTCAGACTGCATCATCCAATACTGTGAGTGTTAGTGTGTTTTCGTTATAGATACATTACACAGAGCTTCACAATATCCATGGTACCAAAAGTGCAGTTCACCACCCTCGCTCTCTGTCTCTCCGTCTCTCTCATGAGCAGCATCTGAGCACACTGCTCAACTTACATTTCTCCTATGCCATTCTCCCCCCTCCCCTCGGTCCCCGCGCTTATCCTCTCTCATCTGTTATATTTTGTCATTGCAGCTAGGTCCCACTAGGGGGAACAGTTCTCCAGCATTCACATCTTCTCTGACTGAAACCATCCCTCCCTTCATCTATCCATCCCTATTCAGTACCACTTGTTTCATTTCTGATGCTTGGTAGGGGAATTCATTCACCCATGTCTGTAATATCCAATGCATTTAAGTGCATGGGTTATTTCTCCTATGTTCATTTAAAAAAAAAAAAAAAAAAACAGGTTTTGCATCATACTACTTAAATAAGCAAGAAGTCCTGGTCAGCTCTCTCTACGTGCTCCTTGAGAACTCTTGAAAAGCTGAAATTGCCATGGAGTCAGCGCTTCCAAACCCCCTCCACCCTCTCAGGATTACAGTCTTGGAAGAGGTAAACTGGAAGAGGCCCCCAGGGATGCATTGTGGTCCTTTAATGGTCGGACAACCAACAATGCTGCATTTCCCCTTCTCGCTGTCTCTCCATGTTCTGCCCCTTGCTCGCGTAAGTAAAAGGCAGTGTGCTTGACAGGCACGCAGCGACGTTATTTCCTGCCCACGAAATCACCAAATCCAAGTGTCCGTCGCCGTAGCCGCCGCCCTGCACCCTCCTCCAGGAGATAAGAGACGTCTATGGCTGTTGGAAGGACACAAAAAGAGGGAGAAATAAGAGGTTAGACGGAAACAGCTGACACACAGGGTATCATATCAGAGAAACAACAAAGGTAGGCAAATGTGACTCTTCTGTTACTGATGCATCAAGCTTCAAGTGCTCAAAAAATCAGAGACTTGATGTCCAAAACAGTTTGTAGCCCCATGAACACACCTCTCAGACCTCTGACAGGTGTGTTCAGGTGTCAGCAAATTTTGTTCCATCCTTTCCACGAGTCATTCCAAGTTTTGCTATACTCCTTTATTGTTGGTCTTACAATTAATCTACGAATAAAAAGTCAAACTTGACTTATTCCTTTGCTGTGCTCTATCAACATATGCTTTAAGCTCAGAGGTGCCTTTGGAAGGATTTTGCTGTGAAGCTGCGGCAGGCTGGCAATATTCTGCATTTCTTTATTGTCAAGAAATCCAATGAAAGACCAAAACCAATAATGTGTTATACTGTATCTCAACTCTCTCTGACTTCCCTTCCCTGTCTGCGGCACTCGGCCCCTAGCCTATTTGTTTATACCAAAAGTGTAAGCCTTAAAAAAAAGAAAAGCAAAGAAAAACTTCCTTAAACTATGTTTTTTAGTGAACAGTATTCAAACAGGAATAAAAAGTCAATTTGCTGGAGACTAGTTATTAGGAGCAGAAAGGTATATAGATATAGTCCGTGTCTAGTCATAGTTTGGGGGCGTGGTGAAGGCGGTGTAGGCGAGGAGGAAGACAGTCCTTTTCCCCAGCCTGTAAATGCCGGGAAGGTGTGGTTTTAAAATCACATAAGGGACACTATTACATTTACTATAGATATGATTATCAAATTTACTATATCAGTACCCTATGGCCATTAATGCTATGATGTAATAGACTAGTATGTTTTAGTGACTTGCATGTTTTGAGATAGTATAGCAGCACTAATGTTACTCAAAGCCTGTTTTGATGATGTGATATAATGTTACCACACAGGGATATGCAACCAGAACTATGGGTTTCTGGTGGCTGGCAACGATGAACCAAGCTGGTTGTTGACTTTGATTTAAGTGTGTTTTAAGATGATAAAATTACTGATTATTTAAATGGAGTCTGATGGGCTTTGGGGATAGCGATTCTGGGACTAATTCTGGTTAAATAAAAAGGATCTTACTCTTAAAGAAAAAGGTCTATCTCTGTAGGAATCCTTTCAATAATAATGTCATACACTTATAGTAAGGCTCTGAGCCTGTCAGTGCTCAAAACAAGCACTTTTAGTGGCTGTAAACTGACGGTGTAAACATGCCGAGTGTTTACATTGCAGCCAGGCTGCTGCTCTCGCTCAGTACTGAAAAAACTTCAAAAAAAGGTGTTCCCATTAGTCACTTAGACATAAAAACATGGGAAAAAAGCTTTCACGTGTAGAAAGCTACACAGCAACTCTTCAGCATGTTTTCCCCCTCAGCGTAAAAGGATGTGACACTTTGTGGGCATTCCATAAAAACTGACTATCTTTGTGGGATTGACTCAAAATAAATGGTGCCTATGTTTATCATATTCTGGACAACATATAGCACAGAGGAATAAGCTGTATCAGTCTTTGGCTACACCTGCAACACGTGTAGGATGAACACATTGTTGGTTTTGGTTTGTAAGAAAAGCACAGCACATCACCAGACTAATCCTTTACACACTGAGAATAGCTCCTGAATGTTTGTTGAAAGTTGGTGCAGTTTTCATAATACGGCCAGCAGCAGATTGAAGCAGTAACACAACAGACTGAAACACTGCATGAGAAG